GAATGAATTAGGATATCAGAGACTTGGTCAGTAATTTGCTTTATTTCTCAGAATTCAAATTGGACATCAATGCAGGTTTCATTCGGAATAAAATATTTCAGTACCCTGAACCCTAATACAGACTGTTTCAGGAAGTGTTTTATTGTCCCAGCTATAAAACTGAAATGCCCTTCCTCAGGTCTAAGAAAGAGGGAGACCACGGGCTGAGATAAATAGTGGAGAGAAGATTCTGTGTAAATGCAAACAGTTGACTTGAAGGGATAGAGGAGGGTTGTAAACCTTTTTACTTTTCAGTCCTAGTTTATAGCCCTCCGAAGTTACTCACCTTATAGCAATTGTGGCAGTTTGAGATGTTCAAATCACTGTGGATCCAACTATTCACCTCCTGCTTTCAGAGTTCCTAGCTGACAGGGGCTTTGCGTTGCAAAGGAGCTAAATCACTGGCACTCTACCAAACTATAGGAGCATTAGGAAATACAACCCCAATGGACAATACTACTCAACAGAATTTGATTTTATGCAAGGCAGGTGCACACTTACACTATCATCATCTTAAAGAACCATAGTTACTGAAGGATGTGTAACTGTACTTTTTTCCAACATTATCCCAATAGTTTTTGTACTTAGACACTTTTGCTTACTGGAATATATAGCTTCAAATACTAACACATTTTTAAATTAGAGTTGTTTAAATTAATTATTAGGTAAAAATAACCATTAGTAAATTAAATATTTTGCTTAGAGAAATCTAAACAGAAAAATAAGAGATTTATTTTGGTAGGTGATTCAATGCCTTTGTATTCAAATTGGCGACTGAAAGTGATGGAGCATAATCAAGGAGAGCCTTTACCTTTCCCACCTACTGGGGGTTGTTGGTCACCACTGGTGGATTATTTGCCTGAAACTTCATCTCCAGGCATGTCTCTTCACAGGTGAGTATTTATCAGTAATGGACAGATATGGCAATATTTTTGTATATGTAGGTGTTCTATAAGCAGCTTTTAACCATTATTGTTTTATTTTCTGCATTACTGATTTCAGAGTCTGCAGGTTATGATCTCTTAACCATGTTTCAGTTGGAAGGTCTAAAGCTTGTCAAATTGACTGGGCAGTATATTGTGATTTTATTTGTGGACTTTCATAGTCTTTACAGCAATTAATAATTAAAAGCATCTTTAAGCTACCTACAATTATTCAAAAAGTAGAATTCAGTTGTGTTGTGTTCTCTTAACAAATTGTTGTTTTGTCCTTAGGTGTAACATAGCAGTGATCCTTTTGACAGACTTGATAGTTGACCACAGTGTGAAAGTGGAGTGGGGAGGATATCTGCATCTTTTGCTTCATGCAATTTTTATAGGTAACTGTTCCCATTGAATTCTTGATTTCTTTTTTTTTTTTTCTTTTCTCTTTTTTCTTGTTTTTTAAAGAAGGCATGTGGAGGTCTGAAACCTTAGTTTTGAAAATCACAGTAACTGAAAATTATGGCAAGAGTCCTTTGATGCAACTTGTCTCCCAAAATTGGACAAGATTAATATTTGTTCATTTATCAAAAGAATCTTAGCAAAAGCATAGCGAAAATCTTTGGTATATGAAATATTAGTCTTCTGTGTCATTGACAATCTGTTTAAAACTGACTCCAAATAACTTGAAAGGTGCTCTTTGTTAAATTTGGGGGAAAATCCATTAAAAACTCCCAGTCATTTGGGAAATATTCCCATTTTTTAATTTGATGCTAATAAGCCCTGTCAGCAGATGCTTAGGACAAATCCGGCCACCAATGTAAGCAAGTGCAAATATAGTAACTTTAGTGCAGTTGCATCCATTTGTACCACAGCTAAATACAGTTGCTAGTGTGACAGGTTAAAATGATATTCTGGTGCATTTTTTTTTTCTTTGCTTCTTCCTACATTCTTTTACTTACACTCCTTCCTTATAATACTCTACAGCTTCTTGTCACCCCAGGCCTTAATTAGCAGCAGAATGAATATGTTCATCAGCCTTACCAAGCTTTCACTTCTCTGAGCAGATATACTATATTTACTCAAAAGGAAGACAACCATGATTATAAGATGACCCCCCCACACACTAATTAGATTCTATATATGGAATATTTATAAAATTTGTTATAAATTTCCAGGGATAGAATCTAATTAGTGGGGGGAAAATAAATCTGGGAGGGGGTCAGGTAGCCCATTTGCTCTCTGCTTCCCCCCAACTATTTCTCCTGGCAGACCCTTCCCCCTCTCCATACTATCAGACTCTATCTCCATACTATCAGACCCTGCTATCCCTAAGCACATAGAATTGAGGAACAAATTTGAAAACAATAACGTTGAAATAAAACACAGTATAGCAATGTGCCTATAGTACCCATATACTTAGTTCTTCCAAAATGTGTGCCTGTTACTTTTTTTTTTAAACTGCTGTAAGCTTTAGCATAGGTACTCTGTAAACATAATTTTAAGCAGCATTTTGACATCTGCAAACTTTAGAGATATAGAGATAGATAAAATTAGTTATATATCTATACATAGAGAGAGATATAAAATTAGAGAGAGAGAGAGAGATAAAATTGGTTACATATACATACATGATCTAGCACAAACTTTTCACCACACACCTTAAACCACATTAAGAAACCATGCACCTGTTACAGTAAACACTCCTGCACCTGTATGCACCTACTTGCTGCCATTCTGCAACCCAATTGCAGTCCCTTATTCCAAGTCCCAATTTGGGGTTTATAGACTCAGTTCATTTACTGTCCTTTTGACACCTGTACACTATGCATGATAATAGTGCAAAGCCAAAGGCTTATGATTTACCAGATAATTCATTGGGGTGGGCCCCGGCAGAGTTAACAGCATTTCAAGCCATGGTGATCCCACTGCTCAACACTGCTCAGTATGTGTATGTATTCCAGATAACCCCCCACAAAGGATCCATGTGCCCCCACTCATGACTGGAACTGGGTCTTCTTGTCATGATGAGTCCTGGGATCTTCCAAAAATTTATATTCAGATAGGTGCAAGGCAACCTGGTCTGGCTTCACCCTATGGAGGGCAGAGCCACACTAATCTTATGTGCCAGGCTGAGAGAGGGGATGACGGGTTCTGGGTGAACTGTTCGGGGCCCTACTCGATGATGTTTGCCAGGGATTTAAGACTGGACAAGAAACAGGAATCCTTGGGAATTGGGGGGGAAAAAAGCCACAGCTCATCTGTGGGAGTGAGGAGAAGGTTAGAATATATGCACTGTAAAGGCTTACCATGACTGGAAAATGAGTTGGCAGTGAGAGGGACTGCACTTAATTGGTATTGCTATATGTTTTGCCAAGATATGGCTTATTTGGTCTGTTCTTATTTCTGCAGCCACATGGCTGAGGGCAAGTGAAACTTGGGGGAATCTGAAGTCTCCAGGCTTGGGCCTGGATGTAGGAGGCTTGCTAAAGGATTTAGAAGCATCTGAAGCCCTAGGCAGGGGTGGAGGGTCCTTGCTGGTCGTAGGGCCACATATGGTTCTTGAAGGACTCAAGGATTTGAAATTGATTCGGCTGGTATGACTTGGGACATGAAAAATTTTCCTTTAAAAAAATAAAAAATAAAAAATGGTTCCTATCAGGATCTCAAATCTAGCAGTTTTGGCAAGGGGAGGTATCAGGACTGGCTCTAGCCCTCCCAGTACTGTCTGTTATTGCAGTATCTTCAGGCCTGGTGGCAGTTCACTGCAGAGGGAACATGCACCTGTTTTTTTTATGGGCCAAAAAATAAAGGTTCCCATCAGCATTTTTGGCACCAGGGAGTGTGTGGGAGCTTGCTCCAGCTTCTCTGAGTACCTGCTTGTTATTGCACTACCTCCAGGCCCAGTGTCCCCCAGGAGGGAATGAACCAACTGCATTTATTTTTAAGGGCCACACCCAAAAAAAAAGTTCCCATCAGCATGTTTACCCAGTGTGGGCCATGTGTTTTTCTAGTCATGCTCAGTGCTGGCTGCATTTAATCAACTTCATAGTTTGTTTCCAATGCTGAGCACGTGTTGTTTCTGACAGTAGTTTAATGAGTGTATTTAGTGGGATTTCCTTGGATGTGATTATAAGACAAGGGGCTTTTTTTCCCCATGCCAGTTTCCCCAACCTTGTCTTATATTTGAGTAAATTCAGTAATTCATTACATGTGTACATTGGACCAGGCAGTCTTATTTCTTGAGAATTGCATATGGATAGGGAATACAAACAGATGCAAGAACGTGGACCCCTTTAGGAAGTGCTTTGTGCTGGAGCCATTTGTTCCTCTCCCTTGCATAGATGGTTCAGTGAAGTTGAGACGCACCCCATGTCCTCAGTGTTGATTCTTGTTTGTTATTTTCCTCCCTGCGATTTATGCTTCTTTGGGTAGTAGGTTTTTTATTGCTAGTGATTTTTTTGCTTAAATAATATTTTCAGGTATCCCTGCCCTTTTCAGCATCATTCACATCAGAACTTAATTTATAATATGAAATAAAAATCATGTGTACCACAGAAGGGTTAGTATTGTAAATGTTTTTTTTTCATACAGTAAAAACAGGGAGAGTGTAATGTATTAAATTTAACACAGCAAAAAATAAGAGCTGTTAGCATTCTCTCTAGTTCTTTAAGTAGTGAGCATCTTATTTTCAGTTGGTCTTATATAATTTCATATAAAATATGTTTTGTAGGGATTACATTGTAGATCGTTGTGACTGTATTGACAGTTTTAGGTAGTGTTCAGTTAACTGTGTGTTTAATTAACCTGTCTAATTTACTTTTTAATTTTAGGATTTGACCACTACCATCCTGAAGTATATGAGCATTGTAAACGTCTGCTTTTGCATTTGCTCATAGTGATGGGCTCCAACAGTAACATCCAGTCTGTTGCTTCTGTCCTTCTCAGAAACAGAGAGTTTAACGAACCCAGGGTGCTCACTGTCAAACAAACTACACATCTAGATTATACTTTTACAGGTATATTGTCGTTTATATGCTTTTAGTTGAGATGATATGAAAAAATCGCTTCTGACTTGGGTGTTAATCTCCTTTGTTTGTAATGTCTTCCTCAAACATTTCCAGTTTATTACAGTTTGTCTCTTGGATTTTTCATTAAGATAAAATGAATACAGTTCTTATTTAACATTTTGTACACAGTCATCATTTATAGCACAGTTTGAAGATTAGTTGCTAGCTTGCTCCACACAGCTATGGATAACTAAAGAGGAAACTCTTGTTTTTTGGTTAGATAAAATAGCATCTACTATTTTGTACCTTAAAGTAGAGGGGAAAAAAAGATACCGTCTCTGTCCCTAATTATCGAAACTCTTACTTTAAGACATAAGCCCATTAGCATTTTACAATTTAATATTAAAACATCTTTAGTGCTGTATGAAAAACTTTAGAATATGTATAAAATGCTTAATCAATGGGAGAAATCAGTAGGTTTTACTGGACACATTCTTTAAGAAAGCTTTTTCTTTTTAAAGTTTGATTAGTTATATATTCATGGAAAGTGAGAAACAAGTTTTGTTAAATATTGGTATTTTATAACATGTTCAGTAGGTGGCAGTACATTACCATATACAGTATTAACTCAGTTGTGATGTATCTTGGAAGTGGTCTATTTATGCTTTAAGAAAAAAAATATTTTGCAAATCTTTTTTAAATCTGGCACTTGGAGAGGTGAGGAATTAATATAAGTTATTAATGCCTGACCTAAAACATCTGTTTTTATGTAAACCTACCCCTAAAACTTCATAAATTGAACTCAGACTTGGCCTACAAAATGAAAGTGCAGCTTGTGAAATGCACTGTTTGGTATACATATTAATTGAAAATATTATTGTCTTGTATAATCATAAAGTCACTTTTCTTTCAACAGGTGTTAATGATTTTATACCTGATTACCAGCCCTCCCCAATGACAGACTCAGGGCTTAGTTCAAGTTCTACCTCTTCTAGCATCAGTTTAGGAAATACCACCGCTGCCATTTCTCATCTGCACACCACCATCCTCAGTGAAGTTGATATTTCAGTAGAACAGGATGAAAAAGTGAAAACACTCATCGAATTTATTACCTCAAGGTAATAGCTTAATGTCAACTGCTACCAAAGGTTATTTGGCATGGAAACATGATGAGGTATCATATTGTTTGGCATGAAACTGTCTGTTTTGTCTTCTGTTTATCCTCACTAGAAGTTTAACTCTAATTTTAAATATCCTTTGCCCATGTCTGTACATGTGTATGTTTGTATTTGTAAAACCTTTCAGTCCACCTTAATTTCCCAGGATTCCCAAGGCAATTTGGCTTTTTCTTTCCTCCTGAGATTCTACAAGTCATTGGTGTATCCCAGACTGATGTGTTTTCAAGCATTTACATATGTTAATGCTTGAAAATACGTATGAAGATAAGTTTTTGGGGCCAGTCCGGGGCATATGCTGTATGTAGCTCCTGTACCAGACTACCCCTGCATGTGGTGCACGGGGCCAGTCTGTGAGCCTAATCTAGACCAGTCCTGGATCCAGTACACAGAGCAGGTCTGGTGTGGACACCACATGCACCACAGATCATTCCCACATGCTGCATGTAGAGTGTGCCAGCTTCAGCCTGGCATGACATTTGGCACACAGGGCCAATCTGGGGCATGTACTGCATATGACGCCCATGCCAGACTAGCCTTGTGTGCTGGATCCAACAAGGACAGCCCATCTGGGCCTGATCCAAACTGGCCCTGGATCCAGCATGCAGGACCAGTCCAGTGCGGGCACCATACCAGCCTCATGTTGGGGGGCATACTATAACCTATATGCTACATGTGGCATCTGGTAGAGTCAGTGTGTGTTGCATGCAGTAGGCAGCACTGCAGGCCTGATGACAGTGCTCCGCAGGCCATATCTTTGACACCACTGTTCTAAGGCATGTGACGCATGCGAAAAAGAACCTATTTCCTATCCTTCTAGACAGAAATGGGTGGATCTAGGGAGTTATAGTGTTATGGTCTCACCCCACTTTGGTGATGTACTGTGTGTACAGCAAGCTCTCTGAGCTTACCAGCTGGTCAGCACTGATTCCTTTTGGAGCCACTTCTTTTGTGCAGCTCTATAGTCCAGGGGATGAGTGCCACTGCCATATGCCCCACTTTTTCCCTTGCCACTGTGTGACACAGCCATGGCTCCAGCAACTAGCCCTTGCCAACCAGCTGGTGAACTCATGGAGCTCCCTGCACAGGTGGAGTTCTGGTAGGGGCCTGCCCTGACCAACTAGAGAGTTCATTGTTAGGGACCATTGGAATTCACACCGGAAGTGCACTGTGTGGCAGCTCTTAACCTTGCAGTTTTCCCACCCCACAGAAGACCCTTAAAGGTATGATCAGGAAGTGTCTCAAAAGTCTTTTGGGAGGAGCAAGGTTTGTATGGATTACCATGTGACCTAGTAGAAAAGAGCTAGTGTGTTGAAGGCAGGAATTAGTGACAAAATTCAATTGTGAACCTGGCAACCTTCATAGATTTAATCTTTTTTTCCCCCTGAGCTTTCAGGTTTGTGTAAGCCTGTGAAACTCCTATCAAGTGGTCAGATGCTTGTTTCTAGATTTCATACAGCATGCAGGACAAATAGCATATTTAGAGTCTTAAGGTTTTGACAAAACATGTCACTGGCTAATTTGCAGTGTGTCAGTTTTAATTGATTGCTCTTTTGTGCCATTATTTATTTCTCCCTTGCTGAGTTCCTCCTGCAATTTCAGTTGGATTTAATATATTGCTTCACTTTTTTTCTTTAATTGTTGTGTAGTATATAATAAACTGTTGCTGTGTTTTATTTCAGGGAAGTTTGCATTGCTGTTGTGGGTAGAGAGATTTCCCGCTTACACTGTAGATCGGGGTATCAAAGATATGGGCCATGGGATGGATCCAGCTCACAGAACCCTATTATCCAGCTACTGGTGCTGCCTGTGAGTCTCAGAGTTGACCCACAGGCAGTAGGCAGTTGTGCCAGACAGCCCCATGTGCCTGATGCAGCGCTCACTCCAACTATTCCAGGACCACATCAACCACTCTAGAGCGTGTCAGCTCCATGCTGGTTCCAGCAGAGCAGTTGCCTCCTGCAGCATAGCCCTAGAGTGGCTTGAGCAGGATCGCACTACATGCAGCATCCACTCCAGCCACTCCAGGACATGTGCTGGTTCTGGCATGCAGGGCCAGTCTGTGGGGCCAAGTGAACTAATACCCCTGCTACAGATAGAAGCCTTGGAAATTTCTCAAGGTGAAAAGTGCCACATCAATGAATAATGATAAGCAGTTATATGTTTATAATTTTATACTCTAACACATTATTTGTTCGGCTTTATTTTTAGGAAAAGGGGGCCACTTTGGAATCATGAGGATGTTTCAGCCAAAAACCCTAGTATTAAGAGTGCTGAGCAGTTAACTGTGTTTCTAAAACATGTCGTGTCCATATTTAAGCAATCAAGCTCAGGTATGTTAGAAAACATTTTGCTCTACTAATTTCAATAAAATAAAGAATACTTTGCAGAATAAGTAGAAATCTCCTAGAAATAAACATAAATTTTCAGCAAGTGACCTGCTTCCAGCTAAAATACCTTTAATTTGATATAGCTCATAAGGGTTTACACTTAAAATCTGATGTCAGTATAACCTGTACTTGGGGAAATAAAAAATATATTACAAGTCCACCATAGCTATTTAATGTTTAAATTTTATATTTCCCTCTTAACGTTTCTGTTTAGTAATATGGGAAAGATGTCTAAGTGATTAGATGGATCTTTGTGAGGATTTCATGTCAAGGAAAAGAGGAAAAAAATAAAAGCAGAACAAACTAGTTTAAAAGCCCAACTAAGTAACTATAATGAACTTGTCTGCTTAAAAACAAATGTGTAATGACAATGGTAATTTGTTAGAGTTGCAACATTTAGTTTTCTTTAAAATAAAGAAAAGAAAAAAATAAGATAAAGCCTGTCCTATCATCTAGATGTTCGTTTACTTTCATAGCAGGATTTCAGTTGGAGCATCGTCTCAGTGAAGTTGCTTTGCAAACTGCACTTTCTTGCTCCTCTCGACACTATGCTGGGAGATCCTTTCAGATATTTAGGGCTCTGAAGCAGCCTCTTACTGCCTCCACACTTTCTGATGTCCTCTCCAGACTTGTGGAAACTGTTGGGGATGCAGGAGAAGAAGCTCAGGTATTTGCTTATTTTGTTAATTTATTTTCCTTGTAGCTATCTTACAGTTAGTTTTCCCTTTTAATAAGAAAACTAAACCTCTTTGTTGTTCTAATAGTATTTTTTAATTGCACAGTAAAAAATATAAACTGTTTGATGACTTCTCTCTAAATAAAGAAAATGAAGGGATTAGAAGTTATTTCTTTGATAATCAGTTCAGTTTTTAAATGCAATAGTTCTGAAATGTCACTTAAACACTAAACAAAAAAAATCATGATTTTGCATTAACATTAGTTTCAAAGGTGACCAACAACTTCCAGATATTTTAGCTTTCCGTACCTCAGTAGAAACAGTAATTTCCTGTCAGGACACATACTCTTTGTAACTGACCAGATTCCTAGAGGATGCAGTATTTTAAAATAAAACAATGCAATATTAAAAAGAAAGAGAACTGTGTTGTGCATTCTTATATTAAGCTTTACTGGGAAAATGTTGTGGCCAAACAAACAAGTTGAGCTGTATCACTATATGCATTAGAAATTAACTAACCTGATTCACAACACAAAAGAGAGTTTAAAAGTAAGGCATATAAATCCAGGGAGATAATAGAATTGGATATGAATCTTATAAGTGGTATTGAACCAGAGAATCAAAAATAAATTGGATATTTTTGTTGTTGGATGCTGTTTTCACTCTACATGGAAGTTACACCATTAAAGTTGTGCATCAAATCTCATGCTGTATTTATTGATTAATCTCTAATACAGTTTGTTGTGTTTTTATATCACTAGTTAACAGGTCCTATGCAGTTTTCACTGATGTTGTAAATCTGTGCCCTTTTCTAGAGTTTTGTCATAGAGTTGCTTCTAACTCTAGAGTCTGCCATTGATACATTGGCTGAAACCATGAAGCATTATGATCTTCTTTCAGCGCTTTCTCAGTAAGTACTTATATAGTATAGTTTAACTGCTAGGTTAGGATCATTACATTTAGTTATTACTATATAGTCAAACCCTTTTTCATCACCTTTTCAGAACAGTTTATTCCTAATACAAACACATCCTGCTATGTTCAATTTTGTATCTTTTGGGCCTCAGTCAAGCAAAACGGTTAGATCTGCTCTGACACTGACCCTTTATGCCTCAGGTCTGTGAAATTGATTAGGCCTCCAGTTGTGATAAATTTCAGTGGAAAAGAGGGCACTTCATTACCTTTGAGAATCAGCTTCTAAGTGACCTTGGGTAAATCCTTTAACCTCTTTATGCCTGTTTCCCAATCAATATAATGGAGATAATGAGGCCAGCTTTTAAAAAGGGATTTAAGATTTTTGCATAAGACTTGCTGTGTAGTGGTGAGTGCTATTTGTAATATTAAATAGCTTTATAGTTGTAATAATTATGAATCTGATTTCTTTAAATATGACAGATGCTAAATCTGTCTTAAGAGCACTTACTCTGCATGCAAATTTGTTACCTTTTTAAGTTGTAAAAAACAGTTTTGAACCCCTGACTTCCCTTTAGAAAAAACCCTACACTGTCTATGATCTGGCTCGTTTTATAAATGAGATTTTATCCATTTTGGTTCTCCAAGGGACTTGCTGTATTAAAAGAAAAACATGCCTTGGCAAGCATAATAATATTAATGGGATCAGTATTTTTTCCAGTAAAGTTCTATCAGTAACCCATGCCTGTGTCACAGGCTGCTTACACATATACAGATAATCTGGGGGAATTCTCCAAGATTTTTTCTTCTGGTAAAGAAATGTACTTAGAGCTATGTGTAAAGACATTTGAATACTAAGACCCTGAAGAGTGGAGAGCTTGAAATGGTGACACTGTGCAGTTGGGGGGGGGCAGGCAGGCTGCGCGCACATCTCAGCATGCTCTGCAGGCTCCCATAGTCTGCCTGGCAACACATGGCAGCAGTGTATAGGGGCAGCCCTTATTGGCTGAATCAGACTGTTCAGACTGCTCATGGTCAGCCTGCGTTTCCCTGCAGCATAGTGTGGGAATTGGGAAGGGGGCATGTTCTGTTCCCTGCTGGAACAGAAGAGTCCAATGAACAATTCACTCTCTCCCTGTGGGGAGCAGTGGGAGGAGAGATTCTGGAGGATCATCTTCTCCTTTGTAAGAAGCCAAAGCATGTACAGATGTATAGATATTTGCTTTTCTAGGAGAAACTTTACCAGGATTGATTTTAACTCCGTTTTTCTAGGTTATTTTTTTCTTGGACTGGACATTTTTCATAGATTTCATAGACATTCAGGCTGGAAGAGACCCCAAAGGATCGAGTCCAGCCCCCTGCCCCAGGGGCAGGAAATCAGCAGGGATCATAGGATCCCAGCAAGATAAACATCCAAATGTGTCTTGAAGGTGTTCAAAGTGGGTGCTTGAACCACATCTGGCGGCAGTCTATTCCAAACCTTTGGGGCTTGGACAGTAAAGAAGTTCTTCCTTATGTCCAGCCTGAATCAGTCACGGCGGAGTTTGTGACCATTTGATCTTGTTATCCCTTGAAGTGCTCTGGTGAACACTCCTGATAAACTTATAAGTGGCCACCAGATTGCCCCTGAGCCTGCACTTTTCCAGGCTGAAGAGTCCCATGGCTCTCAGCCTCTCATCATAAGGTCTGTTTTTCACTCTAGAAGAAAAGGCCATGAACAGCTGACACTTACGGTTTCTCCTGGGAGAGCAGTGGCTCTCCCAGGAGAAACTGAATGTCTATATGAAGTTATAATCAAACTAAATTACCAAAATGTTCCAATGAAGGGCACACTTTAACGCAGCTGCCAATTTATTTTGAAATACTTGACGAATAGATTACATCTTTGATCTGTATCTAAAATGAACTTCTGTTTGGCTTCTAGGTATAATTCCAAGTGTTAGAATAAGAGACTGCCTTAGAGACACTCTCCTTATGTATTCTGGTGTTTGAAATACTTTGCAACATTTTTCTCACTTACCTCTGGATACTGAACATAGTGCAAGTTGAGAGTCTCTAGTACTTTGCTGATTCAGGTCCCAAGCTGGCTTTATATATTGAGACCTGATTTGCAATGAGAGGCTGATATCTAGACTTGATTTAGATCTGATGCGATTCCCTCAGCAGTCTGCTGAGATGAGGTTGACTGAACTTCAGTGCCTTTGCTAACCATTTCTGTTTACTTAGGCTTTGGAAGAAGTTGTGTGTAGAATGGTGTTAAATGTTTTTGAGTACGTTGTGTATTCCAGGATCTAACATACTGGTTGTGGTGAGGTATATTTTATATACTGAAAAATTAGATCTGTTTACATGCTCCACTGCTCTCCAAAATTTGGAATAAATTATATTGGATTATCTCTGTGGAGGTTGAAAGTATGACACGTTATGCAATGAAATAAATTATTGTATATTTTACTGTAGAACCTCATACCATGATCCTCTGATGGGAAACAAGTATGCAGCTAACAGGAAAAGCACTGGACAGATAAATCTAAGCACAAGCCCTATTAGTGGCAGCGGTTGTTTGGGATATTACAGCAATGCCAGAAGTAACTCTTTGAGACTGAGTTTGATTGGTGACCGGAGAGGTGACCGTCGACGGAGCAACACACTGGATATTATGGATGGAAGGATAAACCACAGTGGTAGTTTAGCAAGGACTAGAAGCCTCTCCTCTCTAAGAGAAGGAGGAATGAATGATGTGCAGCCCACTACTGATCCCATCAACCTGATGGCCACTATATTTTGGATTGCATCATCCTTGTTAGAATCAGATTATGAGTATGAATATCTCCTGGCTCTCAGGCTGCTCAACAAACTTCTTATTCACTTGCCTCTGGATAAATCGGAGAGTCGGGAGAAAATAGAGAAGGTGCAAAGTAAACTGAAATGGAATAATTTTCCAGGCCTTCAGCAGCTTTTCCTTAAGGGCTTTACCTCAGCATCTACACAGGAAATGACAGTCCACCTCCTCAGTAAACTCATCACAGTATCCAAACATTCATTGGTGGATCCCTCCCAATTAGCAGGTATATATAATAAAGCTATATATAATGATACTGTATTTTACTATAAATGAACAGAAAAGTAAATTAATCTTTTGATGGTAAACTCAAGAGTGATATACAGCTTCCTGTGAAGATTGCAGTTATATCCTCATTGTGATTATGAGCATTGCTATGTCAGGTGGCAAGAGTTTGTGATCCTTTGTCCAAAAACATTGTTTTAAGGAAGAACACTGGAATAGGATGCTACGTTTTGGTACCCTGTTCCAAACAAATTGGCTTGTATACAGCTTTTACTTCTAAAACCATTCAGTTATAATAGCCTTATCATTTGATACTTTTCTAAACTTTTACAGACCGTGTTAAGAATTTTGCCAAAGTTCTGAATAAGAGTACTGAGTTAATTAGTAATTTTGTTTAATTGGCGGCATGATCATTCTACTTCCATCTTAAATAATAGAACAGCTTTGGTTAGAGAAATCCCGTGATAAATGTTTCCAAAATACTGAAGGTTTGCTGGGTGTTAACTTCAACATCTTTTCTTTGTATACAGGATTTCCTCTTAACATCTTGTGTTTACTGCCTCATCTAATTCAACATTTTGATAACCCCACTCAGTTCTGTAAAGAAACAGCTGACAAGATAGCAAAGGTATGTAAATATTTTTAAAAGATCTTTGGGGTATCTTTCAGAAATCTGGTTTTCATTAATGCCATTAGCAGTATATATGCATTTTATGTTGTATAGATATTGGTCAAAAAACAAGTAATCCTGGCAACAGGTGTTAGAACCTATGGCTCCCCTGGCTGTTGTTTTGCAGAATTGGACCCTTGAAGCTCCAAGAGCTAATGCCTGATATAGCTGCATGCATTCCCTTGCCATAAGCAAACAGACATTGACTGCAAAAAAGGTGGCACAAATTATGACTAGGGATCATTGTTGTGACAAAATGTAGGCACCTGTGTGCACCAAAGGGCAAAGACATCTGCATGCTCAAGTTTTGTGCTGCCATAAATTTTGTTATGGCAGTATAAAGATGACGTCTATTTGCATCCCTAGGTATGGGCAACTGGTGCCACCTTAGTCGGGGGGTCACATGCCTCCCCCCCCCTCCCCCGCGACCAGTCAGCAACCAGGGGGGAGGGTCCCTCCGTGGCCCATCTCACCAACTGTGGGGGGTCCCCCTGTGGCCAATCGCGCCTACCAGGAAGTGGTTGTGGTGCTCCCAGAAGTGGCTGTGGCTCCCTGGCTGGCGCTTGCAGAGGGGGCACCAGCACTCCCTCCAGCCCTCCTCCCCATTGTCTGAGCAGGGAGTGCGACCTGTCAGGGGGTGCACCAGCACTCTCAGGGGGTGCACATTCACCCCTGTGCATCGCCTACATGTCACCACTGTCCCTAGGGAAGAATAACAAGATGCACAAATACAGAATGAGGGATGACTGACTCAGTAGTGGCATTTCTAAGAAGGATCTGGGGTTTTGGCCCAGAAATATAAAGGCAAAATTCTAAGCTTAGGTGAATGTCCATAATATGCCTATGAATACTGGAAATTCTAGTACTACCTGCAGACATAAACATTAGGGGTGTGGGAAACAAGCCATATTCATTGAATTGGATCACTGTCTGTGATTCTATTCAGCTGAATCTGAAGATTTGATGCTGATTCAGAGAATCAGCAATTCGGCCATAGACACAGCTTTAAATGTTTTTTCTATGTATCTCGAGGTACCAGGAGCGGTTCGTGAATGCTATGATGCTGGGGTGGATGAAGTGTCCTATAGGAGCGCAGGGTGGGGGTCTCCCCCCGCATGCTGAACGGCAAGCCTGGAAGTGGACTGGAATTACTTACTGTTCACTCCCAGGTCCTCTGGAGAGTGCGCGGGGTGGCCTCCCTGCTACCCCAGCTTGGTGATTGGCCACGGGGGGGACCCCAGGTGCCCCCCCCCGACCTAGGAGGCACCAATTGTCAAGCTGTAGGGTTGAGGGAGGACCTCCCTGCGTGCTCCCTGGCAGACTCAGAAGTGGACCAGAAGTGGTTTTGGTCCACTTCCAGGTCTGCTGCTGTGTGTGCTGGGGAGCCTCCTGTGCTCCTGTAGGACGTTCCATCTGTCCCACCTTCGCAGCGTTAATGAGCCACCTGGTACCTTGAGGTATGTAGAAAAAACATTTAAAGCTGTGTCTATGTCCAAATCCCCGAATCTCTCCAAATCAGTTCGGAGAGTTCTGATTCGATTCGGAGATTCGGCCACCGAATTGGGCTGAATCTCTGCCGAATTGAATCGGGAACAAAACTTTTTACTGCCCTGATAGACATATCTCAAAGTCTGAAGTATTAGAAGACAAAGCTCAAAATGTTGTCTCTAGGTATGAAATGGAGGAAATAGAATAAATCTTTTGCATGAATCGATTCAAGGTGCTCTTTTAGGATCCTCATTTGTCAGAAGTCCTGTTGACTTCAACTGGGTCCTGATTTAGCTCTTTAAAGGTCATTTTTTCATAAATTGAATGAATGGATATGAAGCCATTTCTTAAAGTTAACCCAGCAAGAAAGTTATTTACCAGATTTTTTACCATCATTACACAAGCTGACGACGCATTTAATTTGGGCAGTTAGTCCATTTGAAATACATATGCAACAGTGCAAGCCACTTTTATGTAAGAAGCCAGTAGCTAAGCTGAATAGATCCAAAAGTTTGGAAGATGCAGGGTGAGGTGTGGTGGCATGGAAGTCAAGGTCATATCTAGAGGGAGCAGATGGAAGCCTGTTAGGCAAGAGGTTGGCAGCTTTTTACTGGTGTAGACTGGAATTTATAACCTGGCCCTCACTGCAGCCCAGAAGTCTCTGCCACTCCCCCACTCTGAGTGGCCAGCTTTCAGATTCTCAGCCCTTGAGCAACCAGCCTGGGCTCAGAAGCTGTGGAGGGGAGCGCTGCAGAGTGGATGGGCAGCATAGCACAACTCCATTCCCTCTCTTGGCTGGATACATCTGGCCCATGGGCCATAAATTGCCAGTCCCCTGTGTTAGGAGATTTGCTGACCAGATTTTATGATTCCCCTGTCATAGTGAAACCCTCTCCAAGCCTGTTATCACCACAGGCATAAACCCAGCAGTGGGATTTCATTATTTCATTTAACCTGCACAGTTTTTATAGAACAGAATGTTTAAATCTTCTTAGCAACTCTTTATATTATATTTACAGTGAATTAAAGTATTCTAATAACAATGTGAAATATAGATACTTGACAGCCTTGTCTTCTGTGTTACTGAAAAGTAAGTCATAAAACCTTGGGAACAGTAGTAAATCATTGTATTGTCTCAAAATAATGACTTGCTCCGTAAGCTCAGATAATTTTATTACGTGAAAGAAACAGTTTCTCTGTTTTGTTTTGCAGGTTTGTGCAGAGGAAAAGTCACCAACCCTTGCCAATTTGGCTCATATGATGAGTTTATACAGCGCACACAGTTATTCCAGGGACTGTTCTAACTGGATTAATGTAGTGTGTAGATATTTGCATGACTCCTTCTCAGATACCACATTTAGCCTTGTAACTTACCTTGCAGAGGTAAATTTTACTGAAAATAAATTGTATTGAAACAGTTTGACTTGAACAGTGAATGTACTGATAGCAAGTCTTATTTTAAATTATCTTGAAAACTGAACAAACGTTTTAGAAAGTCATTCATACTGTAAATTGATACAAAGCTGTTTTAGGTGGTGGAGAAAGGATTGCTAAAACCACCTTTCAGTAGTAAGTTTGAATTTTTCATTAGAAATGTTCCATCTGATGGTGGGTGTTTTTCTAGGAGTAGTGTTTTGTAATAAATGTTTTATTCTGTCCATTTATGTCTGTAACTAGCTCTTAGTACCCTTTTCTCACTCGTATCAAAACCTGAATGTTCAAGTCACGTGTATTTTACTTTAACAAAAGAGATTTAGAACAAATAGTCAAAGAAATTGTACGCTCCGACTTAAGTAATAATTGAAAGTTGTCCTCAGTAGGAAGTACACATTTTTAATCAGGTAGGGTTGATTAATGTCGTTGTGTGATGTGGGCTCAAAGTGATTTGAAAAATACATGCCCTCCATGTACAGAACTGCTATTGCTTCTACAAGCAGTATTCTGCATAGACAGCTTGCAGAAGCTCTCTCTTAAAATTCATTTATAGCACCTAAATGAATCTTTGAGTTTGTGAATACTTTTTTTTATAATAAAAAGACAACATCATGGCCCAAACTTCCAACGTGGATCTTAAGTCCTGCGTGTAACTTTGTTTGCAGCTTCTCCTGCTTACATACAATCTTTTAAACTATTAAAGAAACACTGTAAACAATGGGAGCTTCAGAAACTATGATTGTAGAGAAGAGCTTTTATTTAGGCTGACATCTTTTGCTTAGAGGTGTTTTTGACATATACTGATGTTTAAAATATTGCCAAAGTTATGTTAAAATAATGTGAATATAGACAAAAATATTAGAATAGAGAGTACGGTTCTCTAATGTATCCTCTTTTAAATGTTATAATATGACATTTTGAAATCAACCATTAGCTTACCATATAAAACACTGCAGGGAAAAATAAATTTGAATCTGAGTTATCTGTCGCTTAGTATGTATTGTTGATCTTTGCTCTCATCAAGAAGACTATCTACAAACCATATTTTGATTTTTTTTTCTAGTTGTTGGAAAAAGGGTTATCTAGCATGCAACAATCTTTGCTGCAAATCATTTACAGTCTTCTTAGTCATATTGACCTGTCTGCAGCACCAGTGAAGCAGTTCAATCTGGAGATCATAAAGGTTATTGGTAAATATGTTCAGGTACGTATTCTGAAAAAGTAAATTAGAAAGTTTTTTATATTTATAATATCAAGAAAAATATTCATGCAGCTGAACTTTAAATCTATTTTGACCATTTAAAGTACAGTAACATCATTTACCATTAATAGGAATCTGAAGGCAAATTTTGATAGTGTTTGTTTTAAAAATAATAAACCTTTTCTTGTATATAATCAATTCTCTAACAACTTGCATTTAGTGAGACTATGTGCAAGCACATTTACTTAATTCCAGGCTTTGGCCATTGTATTCAAAGTATTAACAGCAGCTGAGCCCTCAGCTATCAGAGCACTAATTTCTGCAGTTTTTTAATAAACTGATTCCCTTAATCAGAAAATTTCTTCTTTAAAATTATTGATTTCCAGAGAGAAGTTTTGCAGTTCAGTCTTCAATTGAACTAGTTGCCCCAATAGTAACGTTCCTCACATAGACACAGATACATCAGAATGAAGCTTAATGAAATCTCAGTGCGTTTCTTTGGAACATAGCAACAAACAGACAATAAACAACAATAATTGCATCCTTGGTAATTCATTGTTTCGCATTTGGAATGTAGTTTATTGAAAGTATAAACCCTGGAAGAAATTTGAGCTTTTTGTGAAAATATTTTATAAAAATGCCTGGAGCACACACTCTTTTTGGGTCTGAACATTTCTGAATTTTTTCTTCTTTCTTCCTGAGCTCCATTAATGTAGTTCCACAAAAGGGCTTAATAGTAATTAACCAGAAGGGTAGTATTCTCTGGACATTTTATTATTGTACTGTTGTCAGGACACATTAGTCAAAACTGGATGATCAGTGAAGCTGTTTCCATTTCTTGACATCTGCTCTCTTCACCTCTAACCTCCTGTAGGTGATTTTTGATCTCTGAATATGAACTTTATTAAAGGAATTTCAGTCAGAATGCTTGTACATTTTCAAAGACTAGAAGATTTTCCATCTGGTGGGATCCAAAAATCTGCAGCCCCCTAAAAGCTGTGTGTGGTTCTCTTCTTCCTCTCCACTTTTTCTGTCCCTCTTTCTTTTCCCTATTATTTTGAAAGCTGGAACTGCTCGATATTTGGAAGATCATCACTATTAATTAAGTAGAGTGCACTTAGCTCAGACTTTTTCTGTAATGTACCCAAATTCTTTTCCTGCTTATTTCAAGGACTACTTTAGCACGACCTTATGTAAAAAAGTATGTCATTGCTTTCGGCTTTCTTTGTGTGGGGATATTGAAACTGATGGGGAGATGTAATTTAAAATATAAAGCATTTTAACATGGAATCTAACTTGCACTGAGTTAAAAATCTCCTGAGAAGTGGAAGTTGCACCTTCTTTTCAAAATAGTCATTTTGCTGGAGTGCTGTAAAGTCACACTAGAATAAATTAAACAAGAATCCTGGCAAAACTCCATCTATTCCAGCTGCTTTGTTGTATATCTGCTTTCAAATTAAATTAACAGTTTGGATGATTTAAAAATGGCCTTACCAAAGCTGCTTGAATTCTGCTTGAATTCTGAAATAGTAGAGGAGAACACAGCCACTTCCCTGGAGCACTTTTGAATCTGAGCAAGCTGTTTTCCTTCTTCAAGCAGCAGTTTACAGTGCAGCCTTTGGAACGTTAAAGCAGGACTGCCCTTGTTCTTGATTTTAAATGTTTGCTTCAGAAGAAAGTTCACTTTTTCAGTTATCTTACCTACACCTTACGTAGAAGGCCAACCCCAATTTCAAGTCAATACACAAACTAAATGTACAGAGAGCTCTTCTATCCTCTCTCCTACATGATGGGGTAGCATTCTGTAGCCTGTGGGCCACTGTGGACATTGGACTTTGGCTGCAGGTGCTTTCCCTTGGCTGTCATGGGGGAAAGTGCAGACAGTGGACAGATCCTAGTGCCTGGCCACTTTTAACTCTCAAGGTGCATCATTCCAGCCTGCAGCTTACCTGCACAGCCCTAGACAGTGTCCATGGTTGTTACTGTAACACTTTACTTCACATCCATGTACTTTTCTATTTTAAAATGTGTGCATTTTTAAAATACAAGATGAAGTATACAAGAAAACTACAATTATGAGGCAAAAAATTCCAACGTCTTATAATCAAGTTGGCTGATGAACTTGATTTTAAATATTGGGGCACAAGCAAATTGATATCTGAATTCTGTGATCTGTCTACATGTTCATATGCCTTATGGCAAATCATTGTTTATAGGATCCTCCTTAATTTTAACCCAAGTTCAATTGGCAAGATGTGCGAATGTAGAGGTAGCTATCTTCTACATCAGCTAATCAGTATATTATAGTTTCAGCTTTAATCTACACTTTTTAATATAAAATATATTTTTTAAATTAAATATCTTAAGAATGCTTTTCCCGCACAACTAGAAATCATGTTTCCTGTAGCAGGTCTCATTCTTATATATTTATTGGTTTTATTTCCCACTTTTAAAGTTTATCTAAAAACATCTGCATTACATCATACTTTTTGACAATCTGGTTTCAAAAGACAAGGCAACAAGAGCCTTACTCAATATTTTGTGCTTCATTTTAGTGGTTATAATACGGACTTTAAAGCAATGGTGATGGCTGCTATCTGTGTGAATATCAATGTACTGTTTGAGAATTTCAACTTTTAACTTTAAATTTGCTTGCTTTTTAATGTTTTTAACTCAGTATTGAAAATTGAGTAAATCTGTTGACTTCATTTATTATCTTTCTGCAACCTAACAATAAAGCAGGAAAATAACCCCTTGGATTTAATTTCTATCATGTATCCCAAAAATGGAATTAAGAAGAGCAAGAGTCTTAAGGAGTAGTCTTTTCCTTGTGGCTTGTAGTCTGCAGGAGCAGAACCCCAGCCTCATGTACAAGCATTGTTATGGGCAGCATACTGAGGCATTGCTTTCTTTTTTCCTTTGATTGCCCAAAGAGTCCCATGAGGGCGTACCCGAGGGGTGGGCAGTTATTTTGGCTGGAGGGCTACTTAACAAGTTTTGGTGAGCTATCGAGGGCTGCAAAGGTAGCCCTGTGGCTTGACAGATACCCCACCCCCTGGCCGCCATCTTGGGACCAGAAGTCCTGCCCCCTAACCCCTGAGAGTCCCTCCCCTTGCCCTGGAAGTATGCCTTTCGGGGGGGGGTTGCCATCTTGAAACCGGAAAAAAACAAATCATATGCTAAAAAAATCAAACATCTACTATAACTTATTTTAAATTTGTTTAAAAAAATGTTTTGTCCTCATTTGTGTGTTTGTATGGTGTATCTAGAGGCGATTGCATAATAGTTCAAAATAGTCTTACTCTTGTGTATTGTGTATGGTGGAGTGTGGGGGGTTTGTGTAGGGTGAGTATGGTGGGGGGGATGGAAGGGTGTGTATGGGGGTATAGTGGTGGGGTGTGGGAGGCTGTGGGGTTATGGTGCAGGGTGGGAGGATGTGGCTGTGTTTGAGGTATGGTGGTGTGGCGGAGCAACATTCTCAAGTTGCAGCTAGAGAACGTTAGATATTAGGAAGCATTTTCTCACTGGGAGGGTAGTAAAACACTGGAACAGGTTTCCCAGAGAGGTGGTGGAATCTCTGTCCTTGGAGGTTTTCAGGACCTAGCCAGACAAAGCTTTGGCTGGGATGATCTAGTTGCAGATGGTCCTGCTTTGAGCAGGGTGTTGGACTAGATGACCACTTGAGGTCCCTTCAAACCCTCATTTTCTGTGATTCTGTTTGGGAGTGGGGGGTGAGGATCCTTGGAGTCTCTGGAGTGTGCAAGTTCCTGAACCTGCGTGTGGTGGCAGCGAGCAGGGTCAGCCCCGCCTGGCCCCATAGCATGGAGCTCCCTATAATCCCACCCCAATCTCTGGCTGCAGATGGCAGCAGCGTCCAGGCCAGCTCCACCCAGCCCAATAGCACTCCTGCCAGAGTCCCTGGCTCATGTTGTGGCAGTGTGCAGGGCCAACCCAGCCCCACAGCACACTGCTCCCATGTTCCCACCCCAGTTCCTGGCTGCACGTGGTGTCAGCATGTGGTGCCAGCTCCACCCAGCCCCATAGTGCGCAGCTTCTGCAGCATGCAGGGCCAGCCCAGTGGGAGGATCTTGGCTACATGACTACTTTATGGAAATGGGGGATTCCTCCCAAGCTTACTCCTGTAGCCTTTGGTTAGGGGCAAGTGAGACTTGGGGGCATCCAAACCCCAAGCCTCCAGGCTTGGACCTGCACGTAGGATGCCCACCAATGGATCTGGGAGTATCTGAAGCCCCAGGCTGAAAAGTCTGGAGTGGAGGATACTTGCCAGTTGTAGTGCCACATATGGTGTCTGAACGATTCAGTTTTGCTCAATCAAAAAGATTCAGAACTGATTGGATCTTTAATCAAAATGAAGATTGATGCTGAAAGACTAAACTTTTTGGTTAATTAATTTTAAATTATCTTTAATAAAAACCCATATCCAGCTAAAGTACCATGCGCAGAATCGGTTGTGTTCTAAAACTGCTGCGTCTACTGGAAATAATTATTTGGTAATATATGTATGTTTTTTATTTTCTGTTAGAGTCCATACTGGAAGGAAGCCCTCAATATTTTGAAACTGGTGGTATCTCGATCAGCAAGTCTCGTTGTACCTAATGATATTCCAAAATCTTATGGAGGTGATATAGGTTCTCCTGAGATCTCATTCACAAAAATTTTTAATAATGTCTCCAAGGAACTTCCTGGGAAAACATTAGATTTTCATTTTGATATATCAGAGGTAATTCTTATATGTGGCTAGAACATGATGACTTCTAGGTACATTTTGAGATTCTTTATCAATTGTGTTTATGATCCAAGAGTTTTGAAGGTTGCAATTACAAGAAATATGAAGCACTTTTTAAATCTTGACTAATATTGAGCTTGAAGTAGTTTATTCATCAGACTCAATTTAATTAGGTCCCTACTGAAAAGTGAGCTTTGCATTCCTTTTGGGTTCAGTCTGTGCAACCCTTCCTCATGGGAGTAAACTCATTAAAAGCAATGGAGCCATCTACATGAGAAAATGCTCACCAATTTTTTTTTTTAAAGACTCAGACAAACCCATAAGGATCATCAAAATTTGTAACAATTGCATTATTCCATGGTTATTTCATATAAAGAAATCCTATCCAGTATAGTCTAGTCTTACCTAGAGCAATTTAGCTAAATTTTAGTTAAGGTTGCTGCTTTTTTCCAATTGTGCCTTCTGGCCTTGAAGGGCTTCTGCTCTCCAGCGAAAATAATATTATGCACATACAACCATGTGTGTCTTTAGGGCCAAAGATGTCAGCTATATGTAAATTATCTTGTGATGTAGATTACAGTCCAGTTGTCACACAACTTGGGTCACAAAACTTTGGTCCATTCAAATTCTTACTCTGGCCTCAGAAGATACAGATATATACTGGCTATCCATGTTTTGGGTAGTAGGTACCTTGTGTCTTATAGCCATGATGTATGGGTACTCAGCATTACCATACTTGGTGCTCTTTATAGAATGATTTTTTGAAGTTAAGTTTCAGTGTGATACCACTACTAGCTCTAAGATTAATAATATGTTGTATATTAATGTTTTAACTAGTGTTTTCTTGTGGCAGACCCCAATTATTGGGAATAAATATGGCGATCAGCACAGTGCAGCTGGTAGGAATGGAAAGCCAAAAGCCATTGCTGTCACTCGAAGCACTTCTTCAACTTCATCAGGATCTAATTCAAATGCATTGGTCCCTGTCAGCTGGAAGAGACCGCAATTGTCTCAGGTGTGTTGTGTGTATATACAGCAAGCTCTACTATGACTGAATAAAAAGTATGGCTCTAATGTATGTAACATGGATGTAAATTGTATGAGAGAGAAAACATACGCTTGAAGTAGTGTGGATAACAAATTCTTAACTCTTACTAAGTTATTTCGCTATTTTGTAGTGGTAAACATGTTTTGTGAAAATCTTTTTTTCTTTTTAAGATCTCTTATGAGACTTCAACATATCTGGTATCTATTCAGTAGCATAACTAAGGGGAGGTGAGCAAGGCATCAGCACCAGATGCTGACTTAAGGGGAGACACAAAAATAACAGCTACTGCTGCTGGTGGTCCTCTGGCCACTGCTGTTGTCCCATAAGTGGCTGCTGCCCAGGAGGCAGAACTGCCCATTTGTGGCGTTGTATCTACTTTTAAGTTCCACATGTTTTACATTTCAGTCTGGCTAGAAGATTTTGTATCTCTAGTAATTTTTATGCTGTGTAATTTTATTTTTTTCCAGAGGAGAACTAGAGAGAAGCTAATGAATGTGCTTTCCCTGTGTGGTCCAGAATCTGGTCTTCCCAAGAATCCATCAGTAAGCATTTGTCAATTCTGATCAGAAAGATGATTGAGGATTCAGCTATTGGTAGTAGAAATGAAACATCCAAAACAAAACTGGCTAAATTTATAGGTTTCAAATTCTAATTATTAATGATGATGAATCATCATCAAGATGCTTCTAGTTTGATCCAATAGCGATCTCTTATGTCATGTGTTATTCAGTATTTTTTCAGGTTAGGCCCTTCAGGAATTCCATTTAGGTAGCAATTGAATGGTGCTTTTAAAGTGCATAATCTTGGACTTCATCATCTAAATTATACATATTTTTGTTTGTTTGTTCTTGTGTTTATACAGTTGACCCATAATTGTCAGGGTGGATACCCAATCAAACATGAACACCCAGTTACATACTCTGGTTCAGACTACCATGGATGGTATAAACAGTGGAATATTGCGCGGAAGTAGAGAGGTGGTCACATTTCTCTGGAATAGTCTTTCCACATTTCATTTGATTTCTGTGTTCAGCTGTGGTTTATTATACACTTTTGAAAGGACATTGAAATGTTGGATTGAAAATTTCAGTGTGCTGAAAAAGCTACAAAAACTATTTGAAATGTGAAAAACCTGATTTCTGGTAGGAGATTTAACATGCTCAATCTATTCAGTTTATCAAAGAGAAGTTTAAGAGTTGCTTGTATCATAATCTGCAGAAAAGGTATCTCATAGGCAGGAGTTCTTTAGTGGCACAACAAAGGTATAAGAAAAGACAGTGGCTTGAAATTGAAGCTGAACCAATTTAAAATGGAAATAAGGAGCAAATTTCAACCATGAGGACAATTAACCATTGAAATCATTTGTCAAAAGAAGATATTTATTTTTATTCCCATAATAAGTCAAGAAAGGATGTCTTTCAAAACCTTATGCTGTACTTCCACAGGAATTACAGGGTAAATATTACAACTTCTCTCATGCAGAGTTCAGACTAGATTATCATAGTAAATTCCCTCTGCCCTTAAGATCTACTATTGTTGTGATTATAGAAATTAACTCCAAAGAGTTATTTTCCTCCTTTTATTGTAACTTTGTCATTGTTAATTGCCTGTATAATTAACAGCAGAATGAGATTGCTTAGATAAGGACTAAAGTTTGCTAGTGAGGTAAATCTCTTACAAATTTTCATATGTTGTTACCAAATCTGCCCATTACTTTGGGGTGTGCTTATTTATTAGGGATAGTTTCTAGGGTCTTGGTGATTCTGTCAATGTGCTGCTTGTGTTACTATACGGAGCTGTATTTCTCCCTTCTGCAAGCCCTCACCCCCAGTGGAGCTATCTTGCAGGACTCAGTCTCAATGGGACTGGGTTCCTCCAGTCACCAAATCAGTCATACACACAAACACACACAAATTAATGTGACACGCCTGACCTGGCCGGGCTGATCAGCATGGACAGGCTGACACCCTCATATGCCAAGAATCAGTTCATAAGAGCAACAATAAAATGCAGTCAGACACAAGCACACAGGTAAACAGAATCCCTCTGAATCCGGCTGGGTGTCCAGCTGACACCCTTATGGGCCAGCATTCAGTTCATAAGGGCACGTCTGAGTCAAACTGGGTCAATCAGCCTGTACAAGCTGATCCCCTTATGTGTTTCAAACTCGGCAAGTCCCAATCTTTGGCCTCTTGGTGAGCAAACCCCACAATAATTTGGGCTTCACAGGGATCTTTAGCATAGGTAAAAGAAGCGTTGCTGCAGAGCACGGGAGGAAAGAGAAGCAGAGAAGGAAAAATATACCCAATTACTACCAGTTTGACTATAAAAGTTATTTATTGCTAAGCATATGAAATATATAATAGTACTAGTAGTAATAGACATGCAAAAGAAAAACAAACACCAACAATGACAATACTACCCTGGTTTCACTAAGTATTTGGGGAAACTTAGCTCAAGCTTAACTGATACAGTTCAGGTTCAGAAGTTTATGCCTAGAAAGAAGACAGAGAACGCTGGGATCTCACCTAGTCCACGGTACTCAGGCTGCAAAGCTGACAGGCACAGTCTGTAGCACAGTCCTTGAAGGGAGAGATGATCTGTTCTTCCAGCGTCCCAAGAACGACAGGGGATGGTGTCAGCACAGGGGTTTTCTTCTTCTCCTTCTTTCCTCCTGCTTCTACTTCTTTTCCTTCCTTTTCCTCTTCCTCTTCTCCCTCTAGCAGCACACACACTTACAGATTTTTATACCCTCAGTTCAGCTGCTTCGAAGCACCCTCAGTAGTGTAAATCATTGTCTTTTCTATTGACAAGGGGTTATCTGGTTTGGACCATCTCAGGAAACTGATTGATAATCAGGAAACACTTAAGATTAGGGAGTAACCCAAATACTTGGGAGCCAGCTTGAAATTCCTATGGGTGGCAGATATACTGATGGGATATCTCATGGTTTCTTCAGGAACAATAGATAGCTTGCAGCATCAGGATTTTGGATTTTTACTTGTTGTGCACAAGCCTCAGCTTAGCATGACTTTTCCAGATCTTACTATAGTCTTTTAACAGACTTAAGACAATTATTGGGGTGCTCATAACCTTTTGTGGAGAGGACTCCCACCAGTCGTCTCGGGAAAGATATGACAACACCTGGGATTAGGGCTCCAGCAGGCTGGATGCTGTGATGAACCCTTAACCATTGTTCAAATGTTGCCCATACCCCCTCTGACTCGGTCTCTTGCCTCAGCATTCCCTAACCCGGCAACCGAGTTTTAGTCAATCAAGTTTAAATAGGCCTCCCATAGTGGGACCGGGGAATGTACGGCCCGAGATGCCTATTAAACTTAGAGCTGTGTGTGTGTGTCTGGGGGGGAAAAGTCCTTAGTAAATCCAGATTAGAACTGGTCTGATAAATGCTGAGCTGGGTGTGTGTGAACATGGGTTGATTAACATTGGAAGCACAGATTCCCCATCATGCAGCGCTCTCCTGCTTCTCTGGTCCCAGAATTCACTGCAGTCTCTGCTTCAGGCTTTCTGTTTTCCATCTCTCATGTAAATGAGACCTAGGGCAGTTGATTCACTCGTCACCCTTATCTGGTGAGGGTCTTAGGTGCGTCTCTCACTGCATCTTAATCAGTTTCGTTTAGGTAGAGGAGGGGGGGGGGGTGAGTCCTTTGTGAGTCAGACAGACTGCATCCTGTACCAGGGTTCCCCAAGAATACAGAGCTGAGACGTAACAATGTGATAACTCTTAACATCACTTAAGTCATTTTATGTCCATTTTTCATCTATTTCTGTAGGTTGTGTTTTCGTCTAATGAAGACTTAGAAGTTGGGGATCAACAAACTAGTCTTATTTCAGCAACAGAAGAAGTAATCCAAGAAGAGGAAGTGGCTGTGGAAGATAATACCAGTGAACAGCAGTTTGGTGTTTTTAAAGATTTTGACTTTTTAGATGTTGAGCTTGAAGATGCTGAGGTGAGACCTTGGGATTTTTATTTTATCATTCTGCTCTTTAAAATGCACAATATTAAGAAAGTGTCACTGCTTCCTTTCTAAATCCTATTTGGAGCATCTTATAAATTGATTGACTTGGCATCAGAAAGAAATCTTGACTGGAACTTTGCAACCTCGAATGCAGTCACAGCTTGCCCACTTACTTCACAAAAGTGTTTCAGAGAAAGAAAAGTATTAGTTCTTTTGCCATCACATAATTTTGTTCAGTAACCCTGTGAAGCAGTGATCCCTTGGTTAAGAATAAGGTGAGCATCTGTGTCTGGTGCTATGGAAAATCTTACTGAAAGGAATAGGGCAGTAAGGATACAGTTTAATCTTAGACACTGATGTATTTCCAAAATTCCAAGTATGATAATAGCAAAAGTATAAAATATGTAGGAGACTTTCTCTACACTTTATCAGACTGTTCTACATTGTTTTAGCAAAAGTTTTTCATTGGAGTAGCTGTCCTTTAACTGTGCCATTCACATCGTGGGTGGGGGGGGGTTTCCTTCACTTTTTTTTCTTCCGTTTATAAAAGTAAGAAAATTAGGTAGCAAAAAGTATTTAGAATTATAGTAACTATTGATTATCTTTATTTATACTGTGGCAGTAATTCAGACCACAGCTACACACAGGAACTTCATGATGCTAGTTCTGGGCACTGTATGCATTCTCATCATTTGAAGCAGAGGCGTCTTCACACATCAGGACCAGTGGGCCAGATGAGTGGCACGGGCCTGATCCATGCATTGGCCCAAAAACTGGCACCTTGAGCCAGATTCTGCACACAGGGCTGGTCTCATGTAGGCGCAGTGAGCACCTTGGACCATCCCTGTGTGCCACACACAGGCTGGAACTGGCTTGGTGTTCCACATGGGTCCCAGATTGAGCCCCACATGTGGCGTGGAGTACATGTTGGATACAGCCCCATGCACTGCGTGTGGAGCATGCACTGGATCTGGCCCTGTGTGCCTTGTGCAGCATGCGAGTCCAGTTCAAGATCCTGGGCAACACAGTAGGCCAGATGATGGGGCTCTGCAGGCCAGATCCAAACCATGGGCCATATAGTTGACGCACCTGATTTAAAGAATTTGTCTGACCAAAAAGGTGTTGGGAAGGGGAGGAAGAAACCTGGCACTCTTTAATTTACCCCATTGGGCTTATTGATCTATAGTACTTAGAAGCATTCAGTTAATACAGGAGGAAGTGACAGGTTTTGAGAATCAGACGACCAAAAATCATAGAGACTTACCTGAATTTTCAGACAATCACTCCTTCCACTCCTCATTTGTCTAGCTCTCTTTGCAGGCTCTTGTTTTGTTCTTTCTTGACTCTTCAATTTCTTCTGCCTTCCACATCTTGCATCTGTCCCTTCAGCTGATATGACTATCCACCCCACACGTTATATTTTCACTACAGTTCAACATGCCCAGATGTACCAGACAGGCTTATTGTAACCTTTTCTGTTACCCTCTAACTGATCCTTCAAATAAACTATGCATAAATGAGCAGAAGAGCTGGACTCAGAAACATCAAGTCTCAATAGGAGCACTGTTGATCCTTCAATTTTGATAACTAAGTGAGGGGCTTTCAGGATAGGAAGCTTTTTATTTTTCCAAGTTAATCTGAACTATTGTGTATGGTTCAGTGTCATTTTAGTAACAAGGCTAAGGGAAAGTCGGTTCTTATTCTGAGTTGTCCAGTTCACCCCACCTTATATAACACTTTGCATAACTGATTACTTACTGATACACAATGTAGAGAGTTAAACTAGTAGCAACTCAGAATTTTCAGATTTAGAACATCATCTTTAAATTATTACCATAATATAATGGAAACAGAATGTTGTATTAAAATGTGCTATATGGTTTCTGGCTAATAATAAATGTTAACAATATTAAGAGTCACTCATAAAGTAAAGGTTGGGGAAAAGTCATGTTAGCTTAAGGATAGTCTCAGTGCTGCAGTCTCAAGTCTCTTATTTTCTTTTGCATACCAATACCCTTTTTGCTTCTCTGGAGCAAACCAAATCACTTAGAAAAAAGCGGCAATATACAGAATCAGAGAAAAATAGGGATCCTGAAAGGGATCTCAGGAGGTCATGTAATCAATCCCCCTACTCATGGCACAATCATGCCTGCAAAGTAGCAGATCAGTAGGGAACAGAAATTGGATTGGCACTTGGGGAGTGTTGGTGTTGATTTGTGGCATTCTTGCCAAAACGGTTGGTCCCCACTGCTCTTGCATATATTTTGTTAACATGACTCTAACGTTGCAGATCACTGTAAGAGACAACCTGTTGGAGTAACTCTCAAATTTCTACTTCCAAGTTTGACTACAGTAGAAATGTTGTGGAGGTAGCTGTCCTCTTTGAATGGGGCAGGGGTAGCGTTTAAAATATAGATTCACTTGCTTTGGAAAAACTTCCATCCTAAGTGTTACAGTTGGAAAATGAGGATAGAAGATCCATACATTGAAATGGGTCCCCTAAATAAGAAAATAAAATAGCCTTTGGAATGACTCGTAACAATACCACTTTATCTGTAGTCTAATTATGATTGTATATATTTTGTCAAGTATATATAGGCACTTAAATTTTTTTTCTCTCTGCTGAAGTTCAAAGATTTAATTTGCTGCTTGTTTAAACAGTTGTTTTACATGTTACATGAAAGAGAATGTACCATACATATGTTGTTTAAATGTTTTGTCCAATTTTTTCATAACCAATTTTACATAAAAAGAGAATTTTAAATTGTAGCTCTTTTGACTTAAGCTTTTTCCAGAGCTTGAATCAGTCTTTTACTGTTGGCAAATCCTTATATAATAAATCTTTTCCCCTGGTTATAGAGTATCTTTAAGTGTTTGTCCTCGTTCTTGCTAATTATGTGTGTTTTCCTTTTTGCTAACCAGGAGCTGCAGGTAAGTTGCAGCCTGGTGCAATGGCTTGTTTCATCTGTTGTCTGTGGTGTGTTTGTCTGTATTTTGTAGTCAATATATGCAATATTGGTACAGATCCAGTTAAAGACAATATATTTAGCTAGTTCCCACTACAAGATATAAAGAGAAAAAAATAAGAGAATTATAATTTATTTGATGCTAATTGCAGAGTATTTGCCATATATTTTAATTCTTTTAAGTACAAACAGAATTTAATTTAAAATTTCAATAAAATTGAAGGGCTGATTGAAACTCTGTTCACAGTGTATTTGATATTTCTGTCTCTCTTCTGTGCTATCATGGGGGTTGGTTTCATTTTTGCTTATTTGAGAAGTTTAACAGAAACTTTTTTCTTACAGGGTGAAAGTATGGACAACTTTAACTGGGGAGTTCGTAGGCGCTCGCTTGACAGCATTGACAAGGGAGACACCCCATCCCTTCAGGAATGTCAGTACTCTGGTAGCACACCCAGCTTGAACTTAACCAATCAAGAGGATACTGACGAGTCCTCTGAAGAAGAAGCAGCACTGACTGCCAGTCAGATACTATCCCGATCACAGATGGTAAGTTTTTTCTCTCTAAAAGAATTTCATTTTCGTTATTGGAGGGGGCAGAACTGTGAGCACCACTGGTTTAAATGCTCTTATCAGTCAGTTGATCTTTCCAGAGAACGCTTTTCATATCATTATAAAAACTGAAATCTGCTCTTTAAATCTTCACCTGAATCTTTTAGGGGCCAGTAATATACATGCCTTTCACCCCTATTTGCAGGACACTGATAGAGTAAGACTAGTGTGTTTAGCTTGCCAGGAGAGCCTTTCCTGAACCCTGTAAAATGAGTTGCCAATAATCTCACTCAAAAAATAGTTCCCCTTTTAGCAGTAATTAAATTACAGTTGACATTCCAGTTTCCATTGCAGTGTTTTTCCTTTGTAAATTGCTAATTATATATAATACAAATTTTAAAGTTCTATGAAAATTGTACCTTAGAGATGCATTACTAAGTAATATTTCATAAAAGAAATCTTGGATTCCTATTTGGTAGTTGAAATAATGTAAATCAAAAAGTAAAATGTAACAGCAGCAACCCAAACCTTAAGGGAATTCTAATTAAATGTTCCCACCTTTAAAACTGCTAATCCATTCCTTTCTTCTTCATTGTGTTCTAACATAAAATAGACTAATGCAGCACTGCTTCGTGTTCATATGCCTCAGTTATACAAATTAGCACAAGATTAAAGTAATTTTTTTACATTACAACTATTTGCAGGTCTAAATATTCATACAAGTGAAATCTATTAGAATATTTTAAATATGTTTGTAATGTGGAAAGAATATCCATTTTTCACTCATAATTTTTTAATAGGAAGGAAATGGGCTTATTCTCTTTCAGTTATGTGCCATTTTCTAATACCTGTAGATACAGGTACTAGGAATCGGCACATTAAACTAATGGGCTGAAGTGCATGTGTAGGTGCTGACTGGGAGCAAATTGCTTCCAGTCAACTCGGGCAGCAGGAGCAGGGAGAGCTGTCCCAGCTTGGTCGGATGCTGCCTGCCAGCCAGGTGGAGATCACGACAGGTCCTGATCTCCACCTGGCTGGCAGGCAGCTGCCCAGCAGCCAGGACAGCTCTTCTCTGCCCCACAAAGATCAAGACCATCCTTTGTAGCCTCTGCCAGCCTGGGGCTGGTACCCAGTAGAGCCTGGAGCTCCTCCTGGCTACTGTAAGGGGACACAACAGGGCAGGAGCAGCTGCAACCTGTTGGGAGCAAATTTGTTCCCAACAGGTGCATGTTCAGATGTGTGCGGTGACATGGTTTAATGCACCTGAATTTTCTGCACAGAAAATTCAGATGCATTAATTGCGTGTATAGACATGCCCAGAACATAATGTTCTCTTTGTCGTCTTAGGCATTTGTGTACTGGTTGTAATCTAGACCATCTACATATTCCAGAACCTTTGCTAAATGGTTTCTGTTATCTTAGTTTTTCAGCATCCCGAAGTGGATTTTATTTAGCCCTTTGCAAGGGCAATTGTTGTTCTAGCATACAAGTTTTAATTTCAGTATTGATGAAGAGACCAAATCCAGGTTTGAATTGATTAAATTTACATGGGTTCACTAAAAAAAAATGTTCTTAGTGAAACTATTAGAATATTATTAAAAGTGTTTATTTAGTGAATTGGATTACCTCAAAAGCAGTAATGGGGACTGGGAGGAGAGAGAGAACCCACTCCTTATCGAACTTTGTTGCAGTAAAATAAACCTTTCATCCCAACTTCCTCAATTTTTCTTCCATTTTTAGGAGACCTACTCAAGTACAGGAAATAAAGAAGCCCTTTTATAATAGGAAAAGTGACATTAGAAACTAGCGATAAAGACTTGAATTTTAAAATTCCATACAGATAGTCAGAGTTGGGGTATGCTGATGCACAAACTTGCAGTATCATTGCCCATGGCCAAAGAACTTCATTGTTCAGGGATTTTGGTCCAGCGCCTTTCACCAGCACAAATAATAATGATGTAGTGTACAGCTAATTTAATATGAACTTTGTGATATGTGGATAAATATGAATGGAGGTAATTCCTTGTTGCCTTTAATTTATATGCCCTCAATTAATTATTGGAGTATTTCACATTCTCCTTTTGTTTCCTCTCTTAGTTAAATAATGATTCTGCTGTAGATGAAACAGTATCCGATCATGCAAGTTCATTACTTCAGTCTCAGGATTCCACTAGCAGTGTGGGAACAGAGGAGGTGCTTCAAATCAGAGCTGAGACCCCAAGTTTGGAGGCTTCATCTTTAGATAACTCTAGCAACCAGCTGCCTGAGGTGGGGAGAAATGTGGGCTGGTGCATGGCTGATTTGGGCTCTTTCTAGCACTGTGTAGGAGCTTTTGCTTTCCTTTCAACTAAATTTTCATCTGTTACACTGATTATTCAGTTTTCTTTCAATATTTCTAACCTGTTATGGTGTGTTTTTTTTAAAGTGTTAAAAGTCTCCTGGGAATGAAAAACTCATATAATAGACTCAGGAAATTTACCACAGGTTAAAAATATTTATGAAGTGCTCTTAATCACCATTTTGTGGTGCAGAATAATAATAGACTAATGTGTGAGATGCTTTCCTGGATGTGTGGGAAATCTTTCTATAGAAGTATTTTCTTTCAAATACTTTTTTTTTTTTCCTTTTGTGCTTTCTTTGGGTTTATGTGATTGGTGCTATGATTGGGATTAAAACCTCAGGCCAGCTGTGTTTGCAGTTGGTTCAATCAAATAATCTTTTAAAAAGGACCACAGATGCTAGTGGTATAATTTTTTGGACTGTCCTGTGTGGAGTAAACCAGATACCAAGCTAATGGCTGCCCAGAAATCTGTGAGTATTCTAGTTTCTTAGTTGATTTAAGATTTTTACAAATCCTTTTACTCTTAAAATTCATTTTAAAATAAAACAACATTCGTTCACTTGCAATACTTAGTATTTTTACTAGCATTATAAAATATTATAAGGATTGTAAGACTTACCCTGGTGGCTTTTCTTGAATGAGACGTGAACTTTAGTATATATTTTGTAGTTTAGGTCTAATTAAAATTACTGGCATAATTAGCAATTTCACTATGTCTGGAAAAGTACTAAATGATTCATTGCTTGACTTAAAACAACCACAAATTCCATAAAGTCTTATTGAAATCTAAAGTCTCCTAATACTGTATTTGAATATCTTGGGATGAGGAGGCTGCAGTATTCTTGAACTGGTGCTGTTTTCTCCTCTGTGCTAAGGTAGAGGTACACCATAGCAAAGGAACCTAGCTCCTCTGCATCTTCATGATATTGGATTCACCAAACCAGGGGCTCTTGCTTCCCTGCCCTCTATTTTTGGCCCAGTTTCAACAGCAGCTTATTTTTCTTTTTCTTTACTCCTTTCTGAAGACCTTCATATTCCCTGGACTTGCATTCATTGTCATCTTCCCCACTGTTCCCAGAATCTAATAATGCAATTACTAGCAACCACCCTGAAAATAAATAAGAACACAGTATTCAAGTTTAAAAATATTTTGCTAAAACCTTGGTTATAGACAACATAATCTAGGCCTAATATTAACTTTTAAGCAGTCTTTTGCCATTCAAGGAAAATAATGGCATCATAAGCAGCAGCTGCTAGTTGTGTTTTCCCTTCTTCGGTGGAGAGATCAGTTAAGTGAGAAGACTGTGCTGATGGAAGTTAGCATATTAATATCACTGTTCTGCAAGTAGATCCATTGAGGTGGATCCATGTCCTCATCAAGTGCTGTTGAGTTTAATAGAGGTAAAGAAGGGACAAGAAGTCCCACCCATGCTGCATCAGTTGTAAGACCATAGCCTAATGCCTGATATCACAACTCGTTCAAGTAGATCAGTAGTGCTGACCTTTTTGGCAGGCATGCTGCAAATTAGCCCCAGACCTTTCCCAAATACCACTCCAATCCCCTTCCCCTACTCTGGTTTCTGCTCCCTGTCTTTCAGTTCCCTGCCTAATCTGTTTCTTTGCTTTGTGCCCTGTGCTCCCTTCACAGTCTGCCATTCTGTTTTCTGCTCCCTGCCCTATTTGCCACTGTGGTGCCTGCCCCCTCCCTGGTCTGATGCATGCCATGTGCAGAGGCTACCTATGCCACAGGTTGGCCACTCCTGAAATCATTAGTGCTTGTCCAAGAGTCAAGAGTCAGCAATATTTTTGGGGCAGAATACCAAAAACACCCACAACTTTTGTGTGTAAGATGTTGGCATGCCAGGGAGGAACAGCTGGGGGAGCTACAAGCAGCCTGATCCTTGTTGTGGCAATGCAGCTCTGACCCCTTCCCTGCCATCCGCCCCACAGTGCATATGCAAAGAAAAATGCCTTTGTGTGCCACACTGACACCTGTGTTGAGGGTTGCCTACCTCTGTGCTAAACCATAGAATAGCACTACTAGAATTCATAAATAAGTCCCCTTCTGCTGTCCTTAGAATCAGTGCTAGTAATATTCACAATGTAAGAGTAATGTAGGCTTGTTTTAAAATCATATGAAGTCAACTGCAAGAATCCTGTCAACTACTGCACTGATTATATCATTTTCCATTTTCTAATGGGGGTAATGCCAAGTTTTCCATTTAGCACAGGAGTAGGCAACCCCTGGCACAGGTACTAGAGCATGGCACACAAAGGTATTTTGCTCGGCATGTGCATCTCAGGGCAGATGGTGGGTAAGGGGCCAGGATTGTGCTTCCACAACAAGGATCGGGCCCCTTACAGATGCCCTGCCATTTGCCCCTGCCATGCCAACGTCTTACAAGTCAGGGTTATTGGTGGTTTTGGCACTCTGCCCAAAAACGTTGCCGACCCCTGATTTAGCATGTTCTGCTATTTTGCTGGACTTCTTTTATGTTGTATCTAGGAAAATCAGGGCAATTATTTGCTTTATTCTCAGAGAGAAATTAATAGATTTAAAAAAAAATGAGGACTAAAAAGAATAATCAGATTTCAATTTTTTTTTTCTTGATCATGAAAAATGGTAAGTTCTAGCACCATGGAGTCATACTGCTATAAATTAAAATTCTAGATTTTGCAAGAGAGATTATCATCTACTATTTTGGATGCATTTTTGAATGTGAATGTGCCAGTTAAAATCTTAAGATATTAAATTCTGAAATTGACACCAGGGTCCACCTGCACATATTCAATTGCAGGGCTGGTGCATTACACATAAGAAAAAAGAAATGACAGAATGCTAATGTAGTCTTTTAAGATCACATCTTATTAGTTTATTTTACAGCTATTTTTAGATATTTTCATCTAAATATCTAAAAAAAAAAAAAATTGCTGTCAGAAGCAATGTGGGATCTTCCCACATATGTATATTTTGCTGTAGCCCCATTTAAACATTCAGAAATATTTTTTTCCTATAAAACTCAAATGTCCATTTCTAGTGGTCACTAAACCTGGAGAGTTGTTTTTATGCCCCTTAATCTCCAAGTTCCAAACTGGCTCACAAGTTAGGGCCATAATCTTGAGAGATTTCAAAAAATACTAGGATCTTTTGTCTAAATTTTGTGGCGCTCACTACCCCTTTGTAAGAGACGCTTGTTTTCAGAAAAGTGTCTGTTTCTAATGAAGATGTTTCCTTACTCAAATTGAGAGTTATCACCAAATCATTGAAGTATGTGTTTTCTTACAGAAGATGTCAATGTAGCATATGGGAGAAATATTATACATAGGAAATAGTACAACTGTTTAAAAAGTGTTTTCTTAAGGAAAGACATCCTGTTGCACCTGTTCAGATGCAGTCAGAGTCCCTTGCTTTTCTCATGTAGATGCTGAAATTTCTTACCAAAACTGATAGCTAATTAAAGAAACATCTTGGGAAAGAGAAGCTGAATATGTATTGCTACTTGCATTAAGGATTCATTAAGATTCATAATAAACTATGATATTTTTCATGCATTTCCTATAATCCAGGAGTGCTCAAACTCCAGTCCACAGGCTAGGTTTGGCCCACAACGCCATGTCATCCAGCCCACCGGGCTCCCCATGAGTCCAGAAATTTGGCGGCAGTGGGCCAAATTTCCAGGCATATGAGGAGCCCTGGGCCCCATGCACTGGCTTGGGCACCCAGTCCCAGCATACAGGGCTGTGCCAGGCTGTGGGTCCAATCCAGGTGTGGAGGACTAAGAGGAGGTGGCACCAGACCCCTAGGCCCCAAACCTGGCATGTGGGGCCACAAGGGGGTAGTGCTGGCCCCAGTGCTTAATCCAGCCTGTGGACCAGCCCCATGCCACTTGTGTGGTCCACAGGGCTGAAAGGTGGCTCGCAGGCCACATTTTGCCCACCCCTGATTTAGCGCCACAGATGGAGACAGATGTACAGCCCTGCCCCCCCCAACCACCACCACCCCACCTCAGTGAAAGCACTAGAGAGTTGCTGGGAAGGCATTTGACAGCATGCTGTCCAACCAAGGGAGTATTAGAGCGGGTTGCTTGGCCCTGTTACTCTGTTTCTTGAACCTGGGGAGGGGAACTTGCTCACAGGCAACCTGCTGCCCCTGCAAGTGGGGAGCTGAGCTACATCTCTCCTGGACACTCTTGGGGCTGCAGCTCTTACAGTCTGTCACCCTCCTGCAGATCTGCCTTGTTGGGGTGTGGCAGGCTAGCAGTGAGTGTATTGCCACCCTGGCTGTTTCCAGGAGGCAGCTGCCAGTTCGCCCTCTCCTGCAGCAGACTAGCAGGCCATCAGTGACTAGGAGGCGACATCAAGTGCCCAAGGGCTGTGTCCCCTCTTCCCTTGTGATGTGGGAGTGGTCAGGTTGTACTCTGTGACTGTCCAGCCTGCTGTGGGATGCTGAGGGAATGAGAGATCACCTGTAGCACTACAGGGCGTTGTATAAACGTTCTGTATAGCACTTTCATGTGGGAGCATTTCTGTAGTGCTTCCATCATTTGGTAGTGCTATGGAGGACAAGCACATCTGTCCCCTCAACTTTTGTAATACAAGGGCATATATAGTGCTACAAATGGTAATGTCTGACCAGATCATGGCATTTGCTTTTTAACTAACAATGTATACCTGGATAATACAAGTGTGAGAAATACTCTTTAGCAAATACTTCTCTCTGTTGATGATTTCTGTATATAAGGTGATATGTAGAGCTGCACATCTTGTTGACCTTGAACTGTATGTTAAAACTTATGAGAGATGGACCACTGTCTAGATCCTAATGATTTTGTGCAGCTGTCTTAAAAAAAAAAAAGCCTGGCAACTGTAAACATGTTCATTGTTCCATGTGGCAGAATGACTGCCTTATGCAAGAGAAAGCCTGATGTAAATCTTCTAAAACAGGTATTTCGGGAGTGATGCCATTACTAGTTGCCATAGCCAACAGAATAAGTGTCGCTGTGGGAGTGAAGTAGGCTCAGGACTAACGTGTGAGCAAATAATTTTGTCTTGATACTGGATATGGCACTGCATATGTAGAGCCTTTTGGTTTGTGTGTTTACACTATTGCACCTAACTTCTCCTGGTTTGGAAGGTACCACGTGTGGAGGGAGAACATCATGTCTCAGGATAGCATGCCTAGAGTCGCAATTGCATGTTAAGACAAGAGTTGTTTTAACACTGTAATTTGATATTAGTGTTTTTCTTATGTCGGGCAGCAATAGAAGGTGTAGATTTAAGGTTTCACTACTAAAAATGAGAGTTTAAAAATACTTCCAGTTTTTAATGGTTCAAAGTCTCATTTCTGTTGCTGTTTTTATGCTGTACTCCCATTTTGCTGGGTATTTCTGATTTGAGAATCAATTTTTTTTCATATGTGCACGGTGGTGTTGGGGGTGAGGGGCAGAAAGCGTAAAGGAAAAATTCATAGTTGTTTCAAAAGTTAGTTTAATGCAGGGGTGGGCAAAACGGTGGATCCAGCCAGCAACCAGACTCCATTTCCCAGCAGCCCCTGCCCACATTGTTGTGGATGGTTTCCATGAAGAAACCAGGAACAGTGGGGCTGTGACAGTGCGGGGCTACCACTTCCATGGAGACCGACTGAAGCAGCACTGGCAGGGCACACGGCTGGGTGGGGAGCTGCTCCAGAGCCAAAGCAGAGCTGCGGTCTGCTGCCTGCATGCCCCTGCCCAGGGTGTGCAAGCAGTGGATTGCACCTTTGCCCCATCTCTGGCCCATGCTGTCACTGCAGCAAGATCCCGCTCCATCCCAGAACAGCTTCCCACCCAGGCACATGCCCTGCCAGCTGTATTTGCACCAGTCTTCATGAAAACTGCATGGTCACAGCCCTGCCGCTCCTGGGGTCTCCATGGAAACTGGCTGCAGTGACATACGCAGGGGCTGCAGGAATATAGTGTCTGCCATGGCCTAATCCAGCCCGCAGGCCGGACTTTGCCTGCCCCTGGTTTAATACCTATGTGCAACCATAGGACAGACATGTTTTATTTGCTTACTGAAAAAGTAAGCCTTTGATCACATTATTTTTGTTCTAGGAAAAAATATTAAAAGCATTTTCTACATATTTTCTTGACAAAAATTGTTTTAACTGCCTCAAGTTAGAGAATGTACATTTGCTATAAGTAACAAGTTGCACTCCATAAAATTAGAAAATTAGAAATCCTATTCTAACTAGAAGCTGGAAAACATTAAAAAGGAAGATTATAACTTCTTTTAAATTATTGAAACGGTAAAGCATCCAAGTGTCTGAATAGTTAAACCAAAACTGGATGATGTAAAATGCTGTATTTTCAAGTTCTTACAGTTGTGCTTTACTAGCAGTTGGTATAGGTGCATCCATTCTTTAAGAGCAGTGAAAATACACCCTTATTTTACAGGATGGCAGTTCAGCTGTAAAAGAAGAACAGGTTAGCACTGCCAGTGAAGATACTGGGTCATATGTATTACAAGAACCCCTGGTCTGTCAGGAATCTCTGGAGTTGGAAGAAGCTCCTGAGATGTCAGAACCACAAGCGCCTGAAAGCTATTCTGAATCCATCTGTGAAGAGGATGTCACCCTTGCTTTGAAAGAACTGGATGAGAGATGCGAAGAAGAAGAAGCTGACTTCTCTGGTTTGTCCAGGTAAGAATGAACTTGATTTTAACTACAGAAATGATGTGCCCCTTTTATATTCTATCTACTCAATCAAGTAAGTGAAGCAGAACTTTTCTTTGTTTGAATTTTTCATACTTTTTGTTATAATCAAACCTCTAAATATACACCTCAGCATAAAATTTGCATGGTTCCCTTTTGGGGAGTGGACCTGTTGGCTCCACCCTTGTCAATTAAAAGTTTAAGGGTGAATGCAGCCTGCAGGAAATATTGAGGATTGACAAGCATCTGTTCATCTAAAGCAGGGGTGTCCAACCTTTTTGAATGTGGGGCCAGATCACGAACTTTTTATTACCCAGTGGGCTGGCGAGCCATATTCAAAGACCTCACAGGAAGTGATGTCATGTGACCTTTGACACCAGTGAAGTTGCAGGAAGTGACAATGAAATGGGTCTAAATAACCAGTTCAAAACTCTCCCTCTATAGCATCCACCTCTTCCACTGTTAGGGACAGGATACTGAGCTAGATGGACCATGGGGCTGACCAAGCATGGCACTTTTTATGCTCTTATGTTCAGAAGCTCTTATGTTCTTTGGCTGACCTTCCAAACTATGGCTGAGATTTGCAAAAAGGGGTAGGTAGACATGTTACAAAGTTGTCATAAAAGATTTGGAGCCCTCTAAATCCCATTCATTTTAATGGAAATTGGCCTTTTGACTCAGCTTTGAAAATCTCAGCCCAAGGTGCCAACCAAATAAGTCAAAATATATTTTGCATTTCTATGCAGTACATCTATGTGGGGCACTCCAAGCATTTTACAGACATGAAATGACCCTCAGGATGAGCCCAGCCAGAGGAGCAAGGGCTCAGCTGCACTTTCCCCCTACCTGCGCTGGTCAGTCCGGAGTGGCACCCGGCTCCGCCGCCACTTC